ACTTTCAGTGGCAGAGGTGTATATTTTGTGATTTTCTTCATTGATATTTGTTGCTTCTGATTCAGCAGTAGCATGAGTACAGTGGATGCTGTGAGTAGAGGTCATGACTATTACTCAATGAACCATCTTTTAAAAATTGAGTGATTAGAAATTGTGAGAGGTGATGACAATGTGAAGAGTGAATAGTAAAAAATAGTATATAATATAGTAGAAGCTAATAGTAATAATAATTATAGTAGTAATGTAATTGAAGTTGTAGCTAATCATTGAAGAGGAAAAGAGAGAGAAAGAAGATATGCGAAATACATGCATTCATATATATATACATATAGAAATAGTGATAGTGAGAGTATAATGGAAAGAGGTACGAATAGACGAAGATATAAACAAAGATAATATAATAATAAGGAAATAATAAACGAGTGCATTATACTTGCACAGGTGTTGAGATATCAAAGTTTGAATGTTGTAACAGATGATATAGATCAAGCAATTGTTGCATTGATATTAAATTACAATGTAAAAAGATTTGATATTTTAATGTTAATAAATTTATCATCATTTTTATTCTTTTTTTTATTTTTTTCCTTCTTTTTGACATTTTCAGTATTGTCAGTACTCTTATTATTCTTATTCTCTTTCCTTGATCATTTAAATGTTTTATCAGAGTTTAGATGATAGTAATTAATCTTTATATGCTTTAAAACCTTGCAATATCCACACTATAAGATTGTGATGATGATTGTGTTGTTGTCATTGTTATCATTAATGACTGTGTTGATTTTTATAACTTTAAAGTGTTCAGTACTCTCTGATTTACTCATTCAATGAGTAATTTATTTTATAAATTGTTGATATTTAGATTGACAATCAAACTCTGATCTGTTTTATAAAATGTATCAAAATGTGATTTAATGTAAATTCTCTAATAATTTTAAAAATTGATAATAAAAAATCATGAAGATAGTTCTCACTGTGATTCTTCATTAATTGTCATATATGAGTAGATAAATATTGATATTAATATACATACATCAGATAATCACTGTTCTTGATATGTAAATGAGTAAATTCTTTAGAAATGTTAATTCTTTCTTTCTTTAAAGGTATCATATATACTGCACTTATCTTATTTCATAAAGCTGTTGTGTTGTCGGATTGAATAGATTTCATGATCAAATAAACAGAATTTATCAGAGATTATAACATATAATGAAAAAAAAAGTTTTGAATGTATCATTTAATATTATTGATTGAGTAATAATAGATTTTTAGATGATTTTTATTGATTTTTATTAAAAATATTTACATCATTAATCATTTCTGCATCTGATAAGAATGCCATTTTCCATGTCTGATAGTTAATGTTATTAAATATAATGATGAATTTTGTATTTAATAAGATTTGTATTTTTTTCTAATATTTATGAATTAACATGTTCAGATCTTCTTCTGATATAAAATTTGAAGAAAATGATGATAATAAAGAAAATGAAAAAGATAGCAATGTATATGTTAATATCAATCATTCACAGAATGCAATGAGATTTGCTGCTGTTATGATCATCATATTATTAAAATTTAATATAAATATCAATATAAAATTGAGCATGTTATTTTCAGATTTTTCATATTATGACATTTTATCAGTATCACATACTGAATCAGAGGTTGTCATATTTTTCTCTGTTATTACATATTCAATTTGATCAAGCTTTACTTCTGAGCTGAATTCTTACTCAGTAATAGAGAGAAAGAATTAGAGCATTTTTAATTGTGAATATAATGTCTTCTTACATTCTAATATTGAAGTTTCAGATAATTGAGAATCATTCATAATCAATTTAATTTAAAAAGGTTTTGAATGAAAATAAATAAATAAGTTTTTAATTTTTTCAAGATAGTAATGAAATCTCTGCAGCAGTCTCAACAGCAATTCCATCAATTACATCACTTTTATAAACAAAGAGCTTTCTTTTCAGAGGAATAATGTTTAACTCATTCAATATAACATCAGTTGCAGTATATTTTAATTAAAATGTTTGTTTTTTTTTAAAAATCTGCAATCTGAATCTTCTCATTGTGCGATCGCTAGCTAACTATATATAGGGGTAATCACGTGGGGTGGAGGGCCGCCTGGGCAACTAGTGCCCAACACCGTAGTACCCCCTAACAGGGATTTTAGATGCGTGTTTGCAGCCGAAAGTTTTTTTCCAGCTGATACACTCACATATAAACAAGTACTTATAGAAAAACATGAATATCTTCAACATCATAATAGATACATGCTCTATACTATAATTGAAGTATATGTACGGAGTATCATATTCCAAGTATATGATGGGACCAGAATGGGACCAGTACTATACATTTATGAATAGAACATGATCTGGGGTTATATCTTTATTATAAGAAATACGCATATAAACAGTGTAAAAGGACTGGTAGTATCAAACAAGATAGGGGACCAGGACTGATATATTTGACAGTGGAAACTGGCTAAAATTTTGGTCATCGTCCCACGCACAGTCACACGACGAGTCTAGCAATGCGTGCCAGGAGAATCTCAGAAAGCATTGCACGAACGAACGAGTCATTGTTAGCATTGGCACACGCTCTTTTCAGCGCATACGCACACTGTTAGCCTAGCCTCCACCAACCGACGTTTCTGCTCGGGTCCCCTCTGCGAAAAGGAGGTAGATCTGATCGGAGTGCCATCGAACAGGCGCGGTACGCTTGCGGCGGGGGTCGATCGAGAGATCGTAACAGTGCCATATGGGCCAATGTCGACAGAAATTAAATAACAACTTGAAACCCTTTCTCACCACGGCTTGAGGTCAAAGGGCTCGCCACTCTATCCGGTGATGATCAGCCCGCTGCCATGCCCTGTTCATAGATCCTAAGTGAAGAGCAACCTGGTGAGGTGACGTATCGCGACCTGCACTGACTAGTGCAGGTGTTTCGTAGGCCAGAATCCAAGTGAAGCATATGTGTTTTTCAAGACAATTTAAATTTTAGCCAAATGGAGCAGAATTGAAGCCCAAATATACTTGAACCTCCCAGGTGCTTTCCATTTTCCTAGCAGGCATTCGACTATCATCTCTCGCATGAATATGCGTTCACAAAAACATCTTGACCTCTGCTCTATTCCTTGAATCCAAAACAAAAAACGGGGGGACGCCATGATTGATTAA